CACTGTTCTGGGAAGGATTCCACATGATTTTGGGGGGTGTCTGTGGGAATTTGCCCCATTTGTGAGGTGAGGTCCAGATGTTGGATGAGACGACCTGCCTCACAATCAGCGTTCCAATTCATCCCAGGGGGGTTCAGTAGGGTTAACATGCGTCTCCATTGCCTGAGGACAGGCAGCTGAACGTCATCAACATCAGCAGGGAAATACATTCCCTGTCTTTGAGGTATCAGACCGAGCAGTGCTGGGGGGGGAGACACGAGAGAAGAGCTGACCATAGGACTACAGAGCATGCCGTACATCAGAAAAGAGCGCCCTGCAACTCCAATCAGCAAACTGACCACACCAGCACAAATCTACTGCGCTGCCTGGTGTTGTCAGGATGCTACAGGAAGTGAGGGGAACTGGCAAGGTGGCGGGGTATTTAATAGTAAATAAGAGTACTAAACAAGGAACATTTCCCAGTTACTCTACTATAAAGAAATGTATTAAAGGAGAACTATGGGGTCAGTGTTTTTCCCCATAGTTCTCCTTAGGGTAACGGGAGGACACAAACTAGCATCCTCCCGTCACCCTAAGCTCAGTATATAGGGAGCTACAGCTCGCGGTATACTGAGACCGCCGCAGCCGGGACAATTATGTCTGGATCCGCCCAGCTGCGTGAGTGACAGCTGGCTCCTCCTATCAAGAGGCAGAGCCAGCTGTACCCGCCCCCTCCCCCGTCCGTTCCGCCAGTCAGCGCTGGCGGATCGGAGCGGGGAGAATCCAGCCCCTCCCCTGTCACGGCAGAGAGCCGTGACAGGATTGAGAGGTGAGCGAGCGCCGGTATGTGTTCGCTCACCTCCCGATCTACTGAGCCGACCTGTGACAGTCTCATTGTCACAGGTCGGCTAGAACTATGAGGTGAGTGACAAGCCCCTCCCCCCTCATAGTTCTCCTTTAAGGGTTATTTAGTTGAACGCCTTCATAACAGTAAGGAGTAAAGTTACAACTGTGATTGGACGTAAGCCGATCATGTGACCTATATATACTTGCTGCACTCCTTCCCGGGACTCCCATATGGATATACAGACGGGTGCTCGAAATGACCGCGGATGGCTGCGGCGGCGCCACATGTAGATATATGGAGAACGTCACCAGCACACCAAATGTTCATTTATTGTCCTCTGCCGTCTCTTGGTTGCTCTGAGCCTGATGAAGGGGGTCCCTGCGTGGCCCCCGAAAACGGCCTGCAACCAAGAGAGACGGCAGAGGACAATAAATGAACATTTGGTGTGCTGGTGACGTTCTCCATATATCTACATGTGGCGCCGCCGCAGCCATCCGCGGTCATTTCGAGCACCCGTCTGTATATCCATATGGGAGTCCCGGGAAGGAGTGCAGCAAGTATATATAGGTCACATGATCGGCTTACAGCCTTCAGCGGATTCAGTCCCAGCCAGCCGCTGTTCCCAGCATCCCGGAAGCGGTTCATGAACTCCGTGTAGAGGGCTCGCTGGATGGGGGAGAGACGCACCATGATGACGTGTTCCTCTTTGGACGGCAGCTGGGCCTTCAGAACCGTGTGCCCCCGTCTACATGGAAGAAGAAGCCGGGACAGATTAAAGTCTATGGGAAGCCATTAGAACTAGTTATTGTATACGAGACCCCAAAAATAACTGCCCCCAATTCTCAGAACTTCACTAAGCTCAGACACCTTATTTCACCTTGCGGTCACATGATGTACCTCTGCACCTCAGTGTCTGGTAGTAGGACGGAGATCCATGTCTGTGACAACGCTCCGAGCTGGAGCATTATATGAAAGAACACGCCCCAGGCACCCCATCATACATGAATGCTCCGCCCTGCTGGCCACCGGGTGAGGCAGACATTCGCTGTCACGTCCGATACTCAGTTGCTTGATTATACGCTAATAAACTCTAATCAATAAACTGTATTCAAGCAACTGATCGGCAGACTGCACAGCTAATATCTGCAGCACCCAGTGGCAAGCAGGGAGGAGCATGCAGGTCTGTAGGGATACCAGGGGTATATTATTTCATACAACGCTCGGGCTCAGAGCAGAAGATGGCTTCCTCCTAGGGCAGTGGTTCTCAACCCGTGGGTCGGGCCCCCAAAAGTGGGTCGCAACCCAGAATTGAGGGGGTCCCCACATGCCTTGTGCTGCTCTAGGTAAGAGGCTCCTCAGCCACCTCCTAGCGCGGCAGTGTCAGTTCTCCTAGATGGCACTGCAGCGGCCGGAGAGGATCAGAGAGAGGGGAGCAGGCAGGAATGAGAAGAGGCGAGTGCTTGATCACCACAGAGCCCACACCGGGCACCACAGAACCCCACTGGATGCCAACAGAGAGTCCCACTAGCCACCTGAGAGCCCGCATAGCCTCCCGAGAGCCCACACAGATACTAGTATTGGTGCCTCCCTAAATTTTATCTTTTGGGGGGGGGGTCACCACAACTTGGCAAATGTTACCAAGGGGTCCCGGCACTAGAAAGGTTGAGAACCGCTGTCCTAGGGGATAACTGGAGCATGCATATTCACAGTGGCAGCACTGAAGATGGAAGATCTGCTGGAGCAGCACTGCCACCATAACGGAGAACAATGAGGTCAGTGGCTTTCCCCCATAGTTCTCCTTAGGGTGACGGGAGGACACAAACTAGCGTCCTCCCGTCACCCTAGGCTCAGTATATAGGGAGCTGCTGCTCGCGGTATACTGAGACCGCCGCAGCCCAGCCCAGCTGCGTGATTGACAGCTGGCTCCTTCTATCTAGAGGCAGAGCCAGCTGTACCCGCCCCCTCCCCCGTCCGTTCCGCCAGTCAGCGCTGGAGGATCGGAGCGGGGAGGAATCCTTGCAGGGAGCTGTGACAGTCACGGCTCTCTGCATGGATAGATCGAGAAGTGAGCGAGTGACGCTATGTGTTCCCTCACTTCCCGATCTACTGAGCCGACGTGTGCGAGTTTCATTGTCACACGTCGGCTCGAACTATGAGAATGAGTGAAAATCACCCCCCTCATAGTTCTCCTTTAAATAAAAGAAGTAGGAGGGAAATGACAGGATCAGCCTGGTATCTACTATCTAAGAATAAAGTAATTAAAGTAATGAAAGAAAAGTTTTGCACACAGTAAGAACAGTTAAATGCAAGCCAATGACACCTGGGAGCTCGAAGTGTACCTGTCTACCTGTATTCTGGGTGTCTCCGCCCACCTGGGAGTTCTGGGCGTCAACACCCACCCTTCCCTTATCCAACTTGCC